AACTTTGTGAACGGCGCGTATTTGGATTCACGAAGGACCCATGCCCCATGCTGCCACCTGGTGGCTGTTTGCAGAATGGTCCCCGGGCGGTTTCCCCAGCCACCCTCTAGTTCCCGGTGCTGCCCTCGCGGCGCTGCTGCCCTCAGTCCCTGCCTCAGCACACTGTGGGTAGGGCAGCAGCTCTGCAGGGCTAGAGCTGGAGAGAAGTCGTCGTCTTTGTCCAAGATGTTTGCTATCTGAGGAAAGGGCCTGCGTGAGGGGAAGTGCTGAGAAGGGAGCGGTGGCTGCCTCGGAGAGCCGGAAGGGAGGGGCCCGCTGTAGGCAGGTGGGCGAGGCTGAGCGGGCCCCCTGGGGAGGTGCGGGCCAGCGGAGCAGCGCGGTGGGCGGCTCTCGTGCTCAGCTCTGAGGAAGACTCTTGCAAGGCCTTCCGCGGGAGCTCTGGGAGCCCGCAGGACTGAAGTGGACAGGCGTCCCTGCGACGCCTTGTCGGAAACTGTGGCTGATAAAACAAAAGTTTGTGCAGGAGGATGGCCGGGCAACCTCGACCCATTGTGATCTCTTATGTCGGTGAATTACTCAGTACAGCAGGTTTCCTGTAGATGAAGTCTTTAACGTGTGTGTTGCTACAAGTTCTGGTGCGCATGTTTCAGGAGACGATGGATATAATAAGTAACTTGCTTTGGAATGTCACCCTCATTAAAAAATCCAAGAATGATGCTAAATAAGTTAGGCTTCCAAAGACAGTTTCAGTAACTGGGAAATTTCTTAATAATTTTCGGTGTTGAAAAGATCCAGATGAAAGTATTTTAAAGAATTCTTTTAAGTGTAGAGCATTTGTGACTGGAGCACAAAATAACAAAATGCATGCAGACATCGTTTGAGGACTTCATTTTTTGGCGCTGGCTGGGTATGGCGTGAGATCAGAGGCTCCTGTGTGCGAAGGTCAGAGGACAGAAAGTGCTGGTAGGCCCTAGCCTGCAGGATGTCGTTTCCCAGCTTTGTCTGTCTTTTAATTGGTACTAGCCAGTCATTTGTGGAGGAAAAAGGATGGTCTTGAAATTGAAAAATATCAGATACTTTCCTCCTCATTCTTAAGGGTATGAGATTTCAGACCAGTGAAGTTTACTATTTAGGAAGTTTACTAATAACTGATGTGGTACATTATATGTTGATAACCCTTTTCTTTAACCTTGATGTAGAAACCAAGGGCTGGTTTTGTTCCTGGCCTGCATTGTGCAGCTCAATCCCTAGCACTGAGGGAAGCTCCTCAAGAGCTACTGTTTCCACATATTTGTATGTACATGTGTTATATGAAGCTTCGTGTAGTTATAGGTGCCCCTTGGCTTGCAAATACAGTCTCAGATATGGAGGGTCACACACCCCAAGTAGGGAGTGATGGGGCTCAGGATTTGATGCTGGCCTCGCAGCCAGTATTCCTTCTGCTACGACCTTCTTCTGAGGGTGGTTCTCTTAACATGTTTCAGTATAGAAATATTTGACATCTCCTAAATAAAACGTTAAAACCTAACCGTCATGTCAATAAACACGACAGCACGTGTACAACACTGTCTGTCCGCCCCAGGAGATGATAGCCTTGGATAAGCCAGCTCTTTAAAAACCCTCATTGATGTTTGACACAGCTTTCAGACTCTTTGCTAGTGATCTTTTGCCCAGAAGGAAAAATCCTACGTTTGTGTCATTGCGAGCTTGTCTCTGATGGATCCCCAAGGGAGCCACTTTGGCATCTGTATAGTTCCTGGGCTGTGACTGCCATCACCGCCAGCTCAGTGCTCCTTTGACTTCCTTCTTGGTTTTAACGCTGTGGACCTGTCCTGCCGTCACACAGGCTCTGCCTCCACTTCCTCAGTGCTTCAGAGCCTAAAGGAATTGAGTTACTGTCAGATGTACTCTAAATGTCCATGTGTGACATGCATATGTCACCCATTTCAAAGGAAAGCTTTCCCATTGTGCAGTGCACAAGAATTCCCTTCTCCGTCATTGTTATTGCATGAAGAGACTGAGAAGCTGGGAAGGACTCCAGCACTGTGCGTGAGAAGCGGGCTGGAGGTGCATTGGTGCCGTTACTTCCCGCACGCCAGAGGCTATACTGAGATGCACTGCGTGCCACTAGGGAATCCTGATTCCAGGGAGCAGGTGGAAGGAGAGCTAGTTGACGTGAATTACAAGCTTGCATGTCCTGTTAGGTTCTGAGCCGGCCTCCACGGCCCTGGCCTCTTTCCCCTGGCTGCTCTGCTCAGACAGGGAAAGCCCCTGGAGGGCTGGGGACCTGTGAGGCGAAGCTGCTTTCCATGGTGCTCAGACTCCAGTACCTTGGGCTTTTGACTCTGCATTACTTTGGGGCAAAAGAGGGTAGAGGGGAGTGATTCCTAGGAAAACTTCACTGAGTTTGGCTTTTCAGTCTCTGTAGGACTGCAGTAGTTTCACAACTTCCATCTGCCTTGAAATACTTGGCTGTTTTTGCATAGAGGATGTCCTGAGAGCAGAAGGAAAGCCTTACTGTTCTAAAAGGCACTGCTTCCTGGGTAGAGCAACATGTTCCTGTTTATGCTCCAAGTCTAGAGAAGCTTTTGGGGGAGAATAGCGTACACTTTTAAAAGTCCCTTAATGTAGTAATGGTGTGTGAATTTTGTGTGCCTTGGGAAGTATAGTTGGGGAGGTTAGAAATCTCTTGCTTTGCCTATCAAGGTTTCTTGACCAGAGATAGAAATGGAAAGAAACACTGCAGGTGACTTAGCTCTCTAACATTAGAATGCAGAGCATTGAACTCCGGGGCCTGCATGTCCCTGGGCTGTGAGGGAAGCCCTTGTTGGCTTGATCTGAGGTGTAGCAGATCCCAGGGGGTGTGAGTGCCGCTCTCGTGCATCTCCCTTTCCCTCCCATCTTTGTTCTTTGCTGGATTCAGGCAGTTCTAGTCCATGCCAGCCAGCACACATTGACAGAGGGGAGGCTGCTAGCTTAAGAGGGTGCTCCTGGGCAGTGGAACAGGTTGCTGGGTGCTGCCTCTGGCCCGAGTCTCCGCCACACGATACTCTTTGGCATCCTGCCCACGTCTCACCCTGTGATGACATTTGGGCTGGGGGACACAGGTGCTGACAGACTGTTCCCACACCAGCCCCTCCCTCCCATGTCTGCGTTCATAGGCTTGCTGTCTCCCTTTAGGCCAGGCTAATACCCTGGGTCAGTGTAGAGCTGTCAGGGGCAAGAGTCAGAAGGGCAGCCTGTGTTCTTTTCTGATTTCTCTCCATCTGCCTTGCTCCTCTCGCCTCCCAGCAGTGCCTCAGCATGGGTGATCTGCTGCTTGGAAAAGTGTAGTTAGAGAGACACTCACATACTCCTCCTTCCTGCAGCTGGTTCGGCTAGTCTGGAGTCCAGAGCTTTCCTTCTTGGGGTTGGGGAGCGGAGATTCTCCTGTCCGCCTCTTTCCTGCGCACCGGTCTGGTGGTGCTGCTCCTCAGGGTTAGTGTGGGGTGTTGGTGCCTTGTCCCTGCACCCTGGCTCCCTACTCGTGATGAGGACAGCGAGGAAAGCTCATTTCCATAGAAGATCTGTAGTGTCATCTGGCTCAGGCCCCACTGCGGTGCCTTCTGTTTGGGAGAGTGGCGCGACTGCTCCCCGAGGTCGCCTTTGCCTAAGGAGCCACTTCAATCCAATGAGCTATTTAGCCATCCCGACATTTTATTTTTAATCCTGATAAATTTTATATAGATCAGGTATTTTTCTTAATACATCATAATAGTGTTTAAAAATATAACAACAAATTTAGACTGCAAGTCTTATTATCTTAAAAAATGTTAATTCTTTGTGTGGTTCCATTAATTATTTAAATCATTTGCAACTTTAATATTGAAATTTAGGTGCTCATAGAGTTGCCACTGTTCTTAAATGTTTTTCTAAGGCTACAGAAACTTTTTCTTTGTTAAATTAAGTTTAATCCAGGAAGTGTGACTCCTGTGCTGAAAAGTACAAAACATTGTTTGAAAAGTGAGAGAAGACCCCAGTAAGTGGAGAATGGAGTGTTTCTTGGGTGGTGAAAATGTTAAAAAACTAGTGGCTTATTTACTTTAAAAGAATACATTTTATCGAATGTAAATTATCACCTAACGTGGTTACTGATAAAAAGATTTATTTTACAAATATTTAAAAATACATTTTAGATTTTAACTTTAGATTTAGAGGAGTAAATATCCATTTTAATTCTCATTACCACAAACCATCTGTAATCCTAGATATTAGAGTCTTAAAATACTAATTCCTTGCTAGAAAACTAAGCATGTTTGAATCACCGGTTGTTGCATTTTTACCTATTAACAACTTTTATAACTCTGAATCTTTTTTTCTATATATTTTGGTATGATCTAGAAAAATAAGATGCTTCCTTTTTTAAAAGAGAAAATATTTCAATTTACCTTTTTCTTAATGTATAAAATTACATTTTGGTAAGACTTGGAGAAAATTGATTTCATACTAACAGTTCTTTTAAGTGTACTCATGAAATAATATACACTAATTTTATGTTAAGAAAATAGATCAGTTGTGATATTGACAGATATCTGTGTTTTAAAATTAAAGCTTTTGCTATTTTGCTATAAGTGGCAGAAGACAGATAAAGAGTAAACTATGAAGAATTTATTTTAATAAATTTTTCCATTATTTTTTAAAAGAACAAATAGTATTTGTCTCTAATTATACTCCATTTCTTCACATTATGAATTTTGATACTTTATTATTTCAATTTATATTGGCTACCTCCTTATAAATATAACTTAAAAAATTTTGTCCATTTATTATTTCAGAAAGTTTTGTGCTTATCCCAAAGGCAGTTTTAATTTGTAGAAGTCTGCTTTTCTTGCAATGTTTAGTTTTAATGTCTGAGAAAATTTAATTTTTAAAATAGCTATCCATAGTATAATTTGTAATTTACTTTAGAAACCTTTTCCCCCTAAGAATTTTAGTAATTTCTGTTCTTTTCTTTGAAACAGGACCTGGAAATAGTGTATTCCTATTTACACGGCATGGAAGCCTTGTCCAACCTGAGAGAGCATCAGCTTCGGTATGTTATTGAAATGTAGTAATTGAGTGCTGGTATTTCATGTATTCATTTATTATCATTAGGCCTAAAGAAAGCATTATAAAACTGCTTTTTTAAAAACTCCTTGTAAGTTTAAAAAGTTGAGTTCAGTTGTTTTTGCACAACCTGTCTGTATTTCTGTTTTGGCAGTGCTCTTTGGCCTCTCTTGTGGGGTCCTCTTAGTCCTACTTTATTGAAAACATTGTCGTAGGAGACAGTTTGTCATGACTTTTTAAAAAAATTTATTTTATTTTAAATAGTTTGCAAATTGAAAATAAATTATTTGCAAACATAAATGAATATAACAATAAAAACTGTCCAAAATAAAAATGAAGAAAGAATTTACAGATCAGTCATAAATGACTTTCTGATAGTATTGGTTCCATTTATTTCTTTTGTATGTGTATGTTGATCACATACAGAAAGGAATGAATTCCACTTAGTGAACACACTAGAGAGGCATTATTTTCTTTCATGGCAAATAAAAATATGCCACTTAGTGCTGAATACATTAGAAACCAGGGGCACATGGCAGAGAGCAGCAGTTCATGGCAGTGCAGAACAGCACCAATGGCAACAGGCCAACAACGGCAACAGAGAGCGAGTCTGTTTCTCTGTCTGTCTTATATGGTATTCAGGCTCTCTGCCCCAGTTTGGGTGTAGCGCTCAACACCCATAATCTCAGCAGTACTAAGACCTGTAATCCCAGTGGATCATGAATTAATCTCAAACTCTAGAAGTCCCCATCCCATGACTGCATGAGGCTTTAGGGGGGACAACTAGACACAAACCATAACAAGTTTGTTCATGTAAAACTTTTATTACTTATCTGTGCTTTGTAATAAAAAATAGAAGTGAACTTACCTTCCGTGTAACAGAAAATAGAGGACTGTGGAAGGCGGGCTACTTATTAGCTGGGGCAGGGTGGGAAGAGCTTGTTTCCTCTAGCTGTGGCCAGCTGTGGTTCTAGCACTTTCTAATTATGACGGGAATATTTCTCCTATACTGTAGATTGCTCCTTTACTCTTTAAACACTAATTAATTTTTGAGCATGTCATTTCAGATTTTGTTGTTAATTGAAAAAAGTATCAGGAGGATTGAGTACTTCTAAAATTAAATTTTAAATGAAAATCATTTAAATTAAAGTAGATTGCAGATTAAGTGTTTAAAAATTCAGTTAAGTTTTATTAGAAAGGGTAAAACCATTGGGAGTTTAGAAGGTGGGTCAAATTAAAGCTAGTAATTTTTTCATTTGATATTTTATGATGACAACTTTCCTGAGATTTAGTGCTAATTGTTTATTTAATTAAACTCAGTCTTCAAATGCAAATGTAATTAGTTAAAATGCAAATACAAAGGTCATACTCTTACTGTGTTCTCTATATGAAACCGAACAATTGGATAATTTAGATACATTAAGTGTGTTTCATATGTGTGGGTGTCAAATTTAGATGACGAGAATTCTCTGCCATAAAGGATTTTTAATACTTTTTCAAAATTTCTAAAGTTATAAAAGTAGAGAAACAAAATACAGTTAAGTTCCACATACCTTTTGAAATTTTCCATTTCAAAGGTAATTTTTTTTTAGAAATAACGGTCAATTCAAGGGCGTAGTATAGTCTGTTCAAACCCTAGAAAGTCTGTTTGGAGCTTGAGAGAGCTATTTGTTGGCATGGAGTTATGGAGAGAGGGCTTTCAAATGTTTAGATCAGTTAGCCTGGATTAAAAGTCATATTTATGGACATCTGCTTAAACTAAGCTGGTTATCTAAGAACAAAATCAAGACACCAAATTATAACAGCAATCAAGCTACAGATCAACCTAAAGACTTGAATAATCTGCTTTATACATATTCCCATTTCTAGAAAAGATAGAAAACTTAGATTATTTTCTTTCAATTTTGTAAATTTTACCCAGAATTAATAGAAAACAGTCAGCTTTCCAATTTTAGAAAATCAGATGTTCTCAGTCATGATTTTAAATCTGTATATACATGCCGCACCCCGCCCTTTGGAGGCTCTGAGCCCAGTCCTGAACCTGACGCTGCTGGAAATCACATTTCTCAGCAGCCCAAAGGTTCCCTTGAGAACTAGGTGCTTACTCCCTTAATCCTTATAGACCAGGAGCAACATATTTGACAAGCAGGAAAAGTGCTGCACTTTTGAGCAGAGACCCAAAATTGCCCCCCCCCCCCAACTGCTGCAGGCTTTCTAGTAGCTTTTTGTTTGTTTTTGCACTGGGGATTGAACTTTTATATCCTAGGTAAGCTTTCTGCCACCGAGCTAGGTTTGTGTTGAGAACAACAGCCTGCTGAAAATACATACTTTGTTCATCACTGTAGGTGACTGTGATTAATTTATAGGCTCCCTTATGTCATTTTCTTTTAGGAATTCAGGTGAGATCAGTGTCCTTTTGCTAAACATTGGTTAGTAATGTTTAAAGTTAAACACTTTTTGGTACTACTTTATTGAAAACATTGTCATAGGAGACAGTTTGTCATGACTTTCTGATAGTATTGGTTCTATTTATTTCTTTTGTATGTGTACGTTTATGTTGATCGCGTGCTTACCAAGTCCTAGATGCTGATGGAGACTTGAGGCACATCGGTGACATAGATTGGACCCTGCCATCCCTGAATTTAGGCTGCTACAGGGATAGTTGGAAATGGTCAGCACTGTTTGATTCAGATGTTTGTGGCTGAGTATGTCAGCCATGGGTGCTGGGCTGCTCTGAGCTTGGAGTCAAAGTTGGTGACATTTGAGATGGAGCAGCCAAGCAGAATTTGTGCAGTGTTGAGGTGTCACGACTGCTGTCTGTGCCAGGGAGGCCTGCTGAGGAAGTTGGTGTAGCGGAGCCAGCACGGCAAGCTGGTAGGATCTGTATTCAAGAAGAAAGGAGTTTGGGTTATAACCATCATTGCAGAATTGTGAGATGGTGTGGTTTCTTTCTTTCTTTTTTGGTGGAATTGGAGATTGAACTCAGGCCCTTGTACTTGCCAGGGAAGCACTTATTCTACTGAGCCATCTCCCCAGCCCTGGTGTGGTTCCCCGTTTGGAAAGATCTCTCTGGAAGCCAAGTGGAGAATGGACAAGTGACTTGCAAACATGAAAGAAAGCACAAGGCTACTCCAGGATCCTATAAGAGACAGTGACCATGTAGTGGTGGCTGGGGTGTGGTTTTAGCGGAGGAGATGGTTGTCTTAGATGTTTTCTTGTTGCTGGGACAAAGTATGTGGCACTCACCAGTAGGTTTCTTTTGGCTCACAGTTGGTAGAGGGTTCAGTCCACACCCAGCTAGTTCCAAGGTAGGTGACGTGGCAGAGGAGGAGCAGCTCACTGTAGCGGTTGGGAGGAGGGACACCTGAGTTCCCCTTCCAGGCCACGCTCCAGTGGTACCCAGTGGTGGACTAGTCTGACACCACATACCCGTGAGCGCATGAGGCTTTGGGGGCACCACAGTGGAGAGTGACCAGCTCTAGTGGAGGACTCGTGGGAGCAGGTGCTGGCAGAAGGGTGGATATGAGGAATACTGGAGACAGGGAGTGTGCACACTTGGGTGCCACTGACTTGGGGAAGCAGACTCAGAATGAGAACGTCATGTTCTGTTCCGGACAGTGGACACAGGAGGTGGCCATTATAAGGTCAGGATTACTTGGCTCCATCTTGACTTTTTAAAAAATGTATTTGGTACGGGGTCTTGCTACGCAGCTGGGACTTGTGATCCTCTGTTTTCAGCCTCCCCAGTGCTGGGGATACAGGTGTATACCACCATGCCTGGTCTCAGTGGCTGGCTCAGCACGCCTGGGGGGTGGGACTGGGGCCAGCATGGCATGTGGTACCAGGGATCGAACCCTAGTCCCTGTTCTTGTCTAAGCAGGTGTTTGTCTGCTGAGATATCTCACTGGCCCTACTTGATTCCATCTTGATTAGAGTTTGGGTCTGGGACATCGCTTTAGAAGTCACCAGTATAGGAATTTAGTGTGATATCAGACACTGAGTTAGACTCTGGATGTGGAGAAGAGGACCAAGGGCAGCCTTTGGGGATGGCATGATCAGTCAGTAGAGGAGTGCTGCAGGAAAGGGCCGAGGAGACAGCCAACATGACCGATGAGCCCAGCAGAGCCCAGAGAAGATGTGTGTCCTGTGAGGAGAAAGGCGCATGTAAGTTTAGGCAGGGTTTTGATGACTAAAAGATGCCGACCATGTCTAGAGCCTTTGCTTGGCATTTGAGGACCAGCTGAGCAGTGGAGGTGGAGAATGTGGACAGTTCTAGAAGGAGAGTTTCTGTAATGGGGGAGTGATGTTGACACTTAACAGGAGAGGCAGATGGGAGCCCTCAACATGGGGGTGAAGCTGTGACCCTTCTGGTGAAGTGACTCAGCAGGAAGGGAGGGCAGCTTGCTGTGATTGTTGCCTCTCCTGTGAAGAATTGAGATATTCTTCAATATTGAAGTAATCTGTTCTGTGGTGTCTGCCTAGGATTTGCCTCTGCTCTGGGAATAGGGGCACTTGGTGGGCCTGATTTAAGAGGGGTGCTAAGGATGAGGCCCTTAGAAAGTTAAGAGCGCTACTTGCTCAGGAACAACCCAGCCATGGGGCTGGAAGATGGCCCCAGTTGCCAGGGACAAGAAGGAAGCAGCCTGGCCCAAGGTTGAGTAGAATGCTATTTACTTGGCACTTGGTCCTGAGAACACTGTGATGTGGGCAGGAAGGAGGGGCCTACAGAACAGTCTGGACACAAGTGACTTCCCCCGTACCAAAACACACTTGACTTTTAAGCTGCTGTCAGGATAGCAGGCACATTGCTGGCATTCATCGCTCCAGGGCCCAGGTTGTAGTGTTCCGCTTTTACAGTTGTGTTTATTTATAGCATGTTGGGAAAGCGCAAGGGCTACTGAGCCGGGTTCCTGTGGGCAGCCCTGTTTTTGTGCTTCTAGGTGACTGTGTGCCTGTCAGTCTGGATCCCTGCAATAGGGTGCCAGTTGGATGGGCAAAGAAGAAAAGCTGGGCTTAGCGAACAGAGGAGAGTTGGGTGTGTGTCGATCCTAGTGGGACTCTGTCTGGGGAGAAGCAGCCCAATGCCTACATCGGAGGTGCTGCTGGGCAGTCATCGTTGCGACAGCCGGCGGCACTTGCTCTTTGGGCCTGGCTCCCTCCCAGGAAGGAGAGCAATTGCAGCAGCCTGTTTGGACGTCCATTGTGACTGGTGCCGTGCAATGCTTCTTTGATGCTGTGCTTGGTACAATTTTGAATGTTTGAATACTCATGGTTCCATAATTTCACTATCTTTTCCTTGGCTGAATGAGCTGCCATAACGAATCCCAAGGCTTGCGTTTAGTCATTGGCCATAAACATACGGAGTTAATAAAAGTTTGCTTTTGTCTAGAACTCCGTGCTGGTAAGTAGTATTAATGCTGAGCTGTGAATGATGCTATCACTTTTTAAGTTAATAGGTTGTTCTTTCTACAACCTATTAGGGTTCCCTTTCAGTCTCTTTTTACCGTAGGGAACAGGAATTTGACCACACATGGAAACCACAGTATAAAGTACACTCCACTGAGTAAGCATGGCAAAGCTGGCATCTTACTAGATATTTGTTTCCTAGTATATCATTGTATTTAATTTTGTTAACATGGGTATGAATATTGTATAGCCTGGGGCTAATGAATAATGGTAATGAGCTCTGTAAATAATCTTAACTTTCAAGACTACATGATTTATTTCATTTTTTAAAGTCTTAGTGTTGTGTTACTCAGATGTTGAACTCCTTTCTTTCTCCCTTTTGCAGGTTAATGTGTGAAACTGTGAGATATGAAAGACACGAAGCAAATGAAGTTTTATACTAGTAAGTGTTTCTTTTGTGTTTTACAATGTATAATGCAGTGACTAAATTTCTTTATAAAGTATCAAAGGAGTATTAGTAAAGGTTGGCTAAGTCAGGATTACCTTGTTTTTGTGTTAACTTACTTTTCATGGATTAGAAATGTGAAATATTTCAACTGTTTCCTGTTGTAAAAGAGGAGTTTTCAGTCCTTCCTGATCAGTTCCCATTATCTTTATCTGTTAAGTGTGGGTTAGAGATACCATTGCATACTAGGAATGTTTGTCATTTTTATCCTTATGAAATAGTACATAGTCTTTCCAACAGGATAAAAGAAATATTCCCACAACTACACTGGATGAGATGGGAAGATGGCACATGTAAGGGGCATGTTTTAGTTAGTCTGTATGGCTTTCAGAAATAGGAAGATAAATTGCCCATGTCTTTTTGGGTATAGTTTCTTTTTTAAAATTGTACTGATATTCCTGCAAGAGGAGTAACATATTTTATAAGGAATGACAGCTGAGTCTTTAAGAATGTGATAAACACATAGTCGATAAATGACATTAAATATATAAACTGACTTACTGGGTGTACTGTTTGTTTGATCATGTTTGCCATGACTGAGTGTTCTGTTGACTTTGCTTCCTGTTTTTCAAAGCACTTACTACATAAGTATTCCCTTCCAGGTCTATTACAGGTATTATTATTGAATAAATAAAATACATGTTCTGTTCCTAAGAGTCCATAATCTGTTGAGGAGATAGAAGTAGGAAAATGACAGAAAATGGCAAACCAAGTAACTGTGGAAATGAAGATTTGTCCAGAGTCTTGGAAACGTTGTGAGAGGGAAAACATGTGCCTTCTGATCTAGGCGTCAGAAGTGTGCTCTTGTCTAGAGAGACATGTTTTTCATCCTCGGAATCAGAATGTGCAAAGAGACCCCTGTGGAAGAGGTCTGGCTTGACTTTTTTTTTTTTTTAAATGTATTTGCTACAAAGTCTCACTGCGCAGCTGGGACCCGCAGTGATCCTCCTATTTTCATTCTCCCGAGCGCTGGGATGCCTAGACTCGGCTTGACATTTTGAACACTCAGGCCAGTTTCATGCGCTTGGCCCTATGTCAGGAGACTTGCATTTATGTCCTCATTTCCTTTAAAAAATGGTCCTCACTTTTCCAGGCAATGGCAAGAGTGTTTTTCCTCTTTTTCTCAGTTACTCTTCTCTCATTGCTGGGACAATTACCCAACACTCAAAATGAAGGAAGGAAAGGTTTATTTAGCTCACAGTTACTGGAGGTTTCACTCCATATTCAGCTGGCTCCAAGGCAGAGCCGCACATGGCAGAGAGCAGCCATTCATGGTGGCAGCAAAGACCAAGAGTAAAAAAAGGGGTGGCCGCAGCTCTGGCAGCTAGCTAGCTTCTCTCTTCTTACATGGTAATGCACATTACCTGCCCCTAGGCAGGTGCAGTAGCCACACCCACAGTAGTCAATCACAAACTCCAGAAGTCTCCCCATGACTTCTCTGTGAGGCTTGGAGTGGGGCAAGTAGACACAAACCATAAGACCCTCTCAAATTGTCATTCAGTTCATTATGGAAAATTATAAAAACACAGTCTTATAGAGCATGGGTCCCCAAGTACTACTCACCATGCAACATTTCAGCTCATGGCCAATTATATTTCATCTTTGTGTCCCTCTGCCCATTATAAGTGGGCCATTTGGAATCAAATCCCAGACATCATAACCAGTGATGTGTCTTTGAAAGAGACAAAGTCTTGCTAAATTTCTTATTCATCCTTGGCTTAAACCTGAGATCTTCCTGCCTCAGCCTTTCAGATAACTGGAGTTCTACTGCATCCAGCTAAAATAATTGTTTCTTATAGGAGCATTAAACACTGTAGAATGAATGTACAAGTGGTATGTGTGAGCCTGGGACGAGTTCCTGACACTGAAGCAGTTTTGTGATGCTCAGTGCTAATGTCCTTTAATGTCCCCCCCCGGTGAAATGTGGTTTCAGCAGTGTTCATGACCGTGAGCTGGGGCAGACTTGGAACAAGCACTTCTGTCCCACTTGCTCTCCTAGGTGCTCTTTCTGCTTTAAGTCTACTTACTTACTCTTCCAGCGTCTTCCCAGGTGGCTGGTAACCCTTACTCCCCCTTCGCACAGGGAGAAACTGAGGCTGCCCAGGTCCCATTGGTGGAAGTTGGAGCTGCGCGTGAGCCTGGTGTCGTGGCTGTGCAGTGTTGGCTCTGGGCACAGGCAGCAGCATTGTCGAGCCTGTTGGTGCTGTGGCACCGAACAGGTGGTTATGTGCAGAGCAGATAGGTGCTCAGCGCTTCCTGCCCTGGGCTCCCGGCTGCTTATCCACGCTCTCCTGGGCCTGACAGTGCTGCTCAGGACCGTGCACTAGCATTTTAAGGAGGAGATTGCTGTGTCTGTAAACCTGTTTTTTGTTTTTTTGTTTTTTCTTTTTTGGTTGAACTAGGGATTGAACTCAGACCCTTGGGCTTGCCAGGCAAGCGCTTATTCTACTGAGCTATCTACCAGGCCCCCTGGTTTTGTTTTTAGGCTCAGTTTAGACAGCGGCTGTGATGGGCAGGCAGGTCTTACGTAATGACTTTGTCGCCTGACTTGGTTGTAGCACGAGCTTCCATTGTGCTGGGTCAGCACTGGTAAGCAAGGAGAGGCCCAAGGCAGCCAGTGAAACCTGACTTCCCAGGATCAAAAGCCAGAGCCTAATTATAGATGGGTATAATCGGATTCTTGGTATTGGGCCAGTCTGGTCCTTGAATGGGTGTGTTCCTACTTTGACCAGTGTGTGAGTTCAGTTTGAAAATGAAGGAACACCATGTTTGTGGAGGGCATAGATCTGTGGTGCCATACTTGGCAAAGTGCCCCTGTTGGGGACCTGTTGCCACCTTGTGGGGAAATGTCTTGTTTGTTGTCCTGTGTGAGCTTCGTGTGAAGAGCAGAGCACAGTCAGACTGTCGGAGGCTGCCAGACCTGGGCCATTTCCCTGTTGTGTTCGTGTGCTGGTGACTTCTGGTCAGTGCCATAGGACACAGTGCTCTTTGTTCCCCTCTGTGCTCGTTTTTCTCCTCTATGAAATGGAAAGTAATGGTTCCTGCCCTTCAGAGCTGTTCAGGCTGTCCCAGCACTGCACCTGTAACAGGAATGCAAATGGGGCGCTGTCAGATTGTTTGGATAATGTACATTTTTGTCTGTGAGTTTTTTAGCGTTAAACTTTTTAGTGCATCTCTAACTCCTGTGGGCCTCTGACTTTAATAAAGGGCAACAAGATGACAAGAATGCCTTTTTAAATTGTATTGAGATTAGGAAGATGCTGTCATTCTGATGAAATGCATCTTTCAAAATGAAGAAGTCACCATTTGGAATTAAGTTGTGTTTGCATTAGAAAGTTAGAAAAGATTTGTTGGACTTCATACGGTAGAAAAGGCTGTCTGGTGATTTTGGCCTTGTTTTCAGTCATTATGTAATGTGTGTTTAATATTTTGTATCTTGGGAAATCTCAGTGTGAGTTTCTAAACCAACCCGAAATGAGACATACAAACGTGGGAAAACAGGATATTGCAGTGGAGAGGGCGATGCCCCGTCCTGAGAAGGGAAGGTGCTCTGAGCAGCTCGTGGGAGCCTCCTCTGGCTGGCTGTCCTCTGGGCTCCCCTTGGCTCAGTGCAGGTGCTCATGGCCTTTGGGACAGAGACGCAGCCTCTGGGGAGGTGCACACAGCCCTGCCCCTGCGCTGCACACATGTGTCCCTCAGGGCCCTGTCCATTCTACACACACACCCAGCATGCACATGTGTGTACCTCTGTACCCCATCCATTTAGACACACCCAGCATGCACATGTGTGTACCTCTGTACCCCATCCATTTA